GAGGACTATAGCTCGGGAGAACTTTTCCACCAAAGGAGGAAGCTGTCTCAAGAAGTGGGGTGTACAGAGTGGTTATACACCGTCTTAGAACAAAAAGCATATATCACATATGACAGGAATATCTCTTTTACTACTGTCATGAGATGCTTTGCTAGCACAGCGGGTCAGTGGTCACAAGGTGAGCACAGCGGGTCTGTGGTCAGCAGGTCAGTGGTCACAAGGTGAGTTAAAGCAGATCAGTAAGTAATCCTTAGTTTTTGGGAAAAATGTTTATCCTTAAGACATGCTGATATGGGGGAGGCAACATCTCTGTCTTTAAGGGCATTGTTCTTGGCTTTGGGACATTGTAAATGTTTAAAGCATGCTCAACAGGCCACGTCAGGCCCTTCTGGGAAAACAAGGCCAGGCCGAGTTAGTTTTAAACCAAATGGCTTCCTCATATACTCCAATATACCCTATTGCTTTTCATTTATTCATCAAGACTAAATTTGGGAAGAAACTCCACAGAGACCAGGTGGTAACAAAAGGGAGAGAGGCACGGCCTGTAGAGGCTGTGGAGACTGCAGGGCCCAGACCCCACCGAAAGCATCAGTGACGGCTCAGCTTCAATGGACTGTTGTCCTGTGGGAATACAGGCTGGTATTTCCAGATTCTCTGATTTCTCAGGAAAAGCTGAATATCCATTACATTATGAGAAATCACCTGTTTTCCTTACACATTGATGACCAAGTAAAACTTCCGAGAAATACCATGCAGACATAAAAATCATGTTTGAGGTTTGTGTTGCCTGTCTGTGACCTCTACATCTGACCCATGGGCCTGCTTCATACGCACTGCAAGTGGTAAGCCCTCCTCATTACATTTGATGAGGTTCAGGGCAGGCCACCCCAGCATTGCCACTTTGGCATGTGGATTATTTTGAGCTGAAGACAATCAAGGCCAAACAGAATCAAGGAGAGCTTTTGACCCCCCCTTAACTGCCTAAAAGAAGTTAGATAGGGAGCCTGTACCAGGAAAAGACCTATTACCAGAGATAACTTTTCACATCAGGAAGACTTATCTGCATGGCACAGCAAATATTTGGTAAACAAATATTTCTCATCTTCCTGTGATTGTCTTCTTCCCCTTTGAAGTTCCAGATCCCTGCCCGGTTCCCCTTAGCTCAGGTGGCATATAAGCCTTACTTGCCTGACTGTTGGGAACCTCATATCTTTGGAGTTCCCATACATACGAAATTAAATGTTTTTTTTTTTTCTCCTGTTAATCTGTCTTATATCAATTTAATTATTAGACCAGCCAAAGAACCTAGAAGGGAAGAAAAGAAAAGTTTTCCTCCCTAACACACTCAGAGCATTCACCATATCAGCCTTTTTACATACATGGGGTCCCCAGCAACATTCACTCCCACCACACACAAACATGGCTGTAGGTATTCCGGGCCAAGTTATTTCAGGGCCCAGACCCAGTTACTCCTTCAGGAAGCCCATTACGATTAACATTACAGTGACAACAATTTCCAATTTTTCAACCCATCGCTCCTAGAATGTGAGTTGTTCAAGGAGAGGGGCCATGTTTTAATAATTACCCTTTTTATGTGTGTGTGTGTACCTATTGTATGCCAGGTGCTTCATATCGCTGGATGCCAACCTTTGCTGCACATTTGAATTATCTGGGATTTTAAAAAAATACCAGTGCTTGGGTCCCACCTCCAGAGATTTAGATGTAATTGGTCTGGAGTGTGGCCTGGGGATCAGGATTTTTAAAAGCTTCCCCAAAGGACTGCAGTGTGCAGCCCTGGCTGGGAACCATAGCCTGATTGTCTCAATTGTGTTTAAATTTCAAATTGGCTCTTACTTGAAATGTTTCTCATTTCTCCCAAAGATGGTCAAAGTCAGCCCCCTCAGAGCATTCTTAGACTCAAGAAGGCAACCCATTGCACTTTTTATTACTTTAACCTGATTTCTTGTCTTCTGGTATTATTACTATTGGCTAATACCTTGTTTATTTCTTTACTTGCTAATTGCTCTTCTTGAATAGAGCTTAGTCTTTGTGGGAGTGGGATTACAGGGGTGGGTGGGCAGGGCCTTTATCTTGTTCAACTGTTGAATCTCTAAATATTGGTTGAATGAATGAACTGCTTAGAACTGAGAGGTAGTTGTTTTTTATTATTATTATTATTGTTATTTTAGTCTTTGTTTTGCTAATGAGGAAACTAAGGCCAGAGAGGTTAAGGCTCCTGCCTAGGCTCTCAGAGGATGCAAGCCTGGGTCTGCCTGACTTGGAGCAAGCACACTGAACAAGCCACTGTCCTGTTACACCTTCCATCTTGGTTATGGTCTTGGTTTTCAGTCACTGTGTCTGTGGCCTTCCAGAATCTCCTCCAAAGCCCTTCAGATGGAGATGTCAGATACTCTAATCTCCAAGGAATGTGTCTGCTCATTGAGAGGTTCCCCAGGGTTGCTGGGAGCATTAGCCTTTACTGCCCAAGATCATTGACTTCTTGTGTGAAGGAGTGTGGCTGAGGTTGAGATAAGGGTGTATTGAGCCAGTAGGGAGGAAATGAGTAAGGTGGTTGAGGGGCCTTGGCAGGTGCACAGATGGAGAAGGAATGATGCTGGAGGAGAGGTTGTGCAGCTCCTTCCTATTTTCCAGTAGTGTTGGCATCTAGCTCCCCCATCCACCACCCACACATCCACCCAGGAGCTCAGCCACACGGACATCTCTCAAACCATTGTGCTGTGTGACATTGGTCCTCGAGGGACCTCAAATTACACTCGTGTAAATGAAGAGGTTGTGCTAGATGAGAGAGGGAATAGCTTATCAGAATGGGAGGAAGGTATGCAATTAAAAAAGCATGTTAAAAGATCAGGCGAAGTCTGGAGCTTAGTTAATAGTGTCAGGCTGGGGGAGTTCCTCCCCTTCTAGTTTTTTTGGGTGTTCTAATAATTAAATTTTCACATGACAGATTAACAGGAGAAAAAGAAGACAAATTTTATTTGTACATTCAGAGGCCTCAATAGATATTGGGACCAGAAAAAACTACCAAAGCAAGCAGGCTTTATAAGTTTTAGGCAAAGAAATAATACATTTGTGAGGAACTGACAGGAGAAAGAAATTTAGGCTTGGGTACTTAGTTATCGAGGAATCTAAGCTGACTTTGGGCTTGGGGTAGTAAATTAGGAAAGAAGTAACAAGCTTGTTTATATAGGTTTCTCAGCCCTGAATTCCCCGGCTCTGGTGATAAGGCTATCTCTCTATCTCCTAGTGTGGGAAGGGTACCTTTGTCAATGAAAATAATCTATAATCAATCTATAAATCAAAATTGGGGTGAGTTTATTATATGATTCAGGTCTGAGGACTATAGCCCGGGGGCTTCCTCTCCCAAAGGGGTAAGCACACCAAAGAAGTGGGTTGTACAGAGTGGTTATATACCATTTTGCAACAAAGAGCATATGTTACATATGACAGGAATATCTCTTTTACAACAGTCTCAAGATTGCTTTGGTGGCACAGCAGGTCAGTGGTCACAAGGTAAACACAGCAGGTCAGTAACCAATTCTTACTTTCTAGGAAAAGATGCTTATCCACAAAGAAACGCCACTGTGGGGGGAAGACATATCCCTCTCTTTAAGGGCATGTTTCTTTTCTTCGGGACATTGTAAATGTTTAAAGCTGTTGTACAATGCGTGCTCAACAGGCTACGTGAGGCCTTTTTGGAAAAACAAAGTCGGGTCAAATTAGTTTTAAACCAAATGGCTTCCTTGTACACGCCAATATATCTTATTGCTTTTCATTTATCCATCACCTTTCACGTAGGAGATTTATTTCCTGCTTTCAGGGTGGACAGAGAGAGGAGGGTCAGAGTGCCCTTTTTCGCACCAGCTGTTTTCTCAAGCAACTTTAATTCAAAATAATCAATATGCCAGTGTGGTACTTCTTGGGGCAGCCTGCTCTGACCCTGACAATAGTAATGTACCAATGCCAGTTTTTATAAAAACACCCAGGTATCTTAATGTTAACGGGGGGGGGGGGGCTGACACACTGAGAGTTCTAAATTATTTTTGCAACTTTTCTGTAAATCTAAAATTAATTCCAAAATAAAAAATTTATATAAAAAAGCAAAACTCAACTACAAATTGTAGTAGCTTGACAAAATCTTGGCTGATGGGGTACATAAGCAGAATCCTTGCTTTATCACTTCTTAGCTTCTTGACTTTGGCAAAGCTAACCCCACCGTGTATAGGTTTCCTCAGTGGTAAGATGGGGCAACGAAATTGATTCCTTTATAAGTGCTTACCAGTGCTTAGCATGCATTAAAACACATACTAAATGTTAGTTATTATCATTGTGACTATAATAATTATTAAAAAGACAGTGATTCATAACATGGATATGGGGAAGCATAATGTAGACAGGGAGTGTAACATTACCGTTAAGGAGGACTTGGTGTGAAAACACAAAGACCCTGGGGCAGGGATCGTCACAGCATTGAGTTTATTTATTTTTTATTTTTATTTTTTTAATTTTATTTATTTTTATTTTTTTAATTTTATTTATTTATTTTTCCCCCAAAGCCCCAGCAGATAGTTGTATGTCATAGCTGAACATCCCTCTAGTTGCTGTATGTGGGATGCGGCCCCAGCATGGCCGGAGAAGCGGTGAGTCAGTGCGCGCCCAGGATCCGAACCCGGGCCGCCAGCAGCGGAGCACGCCCACTTAACCGCTAAGCCACGGGGCTGGCTCACAGCGTTGAGTTTAGAACGGACAGCTCCGCCCCTTCCTCGAGCTCTGGTCCCGCCCCTCCCTTGCGCTCAGCTCCGCCCCTTTCCTCCTCAGGCTCCGCCTTTGCCCATCGGAAGGCGGGGCTTGACGCCCACTCTGGGAGGGAGGGGCTCAAGGAGGAACCTCTGCGGGGCGGAGTCTGGAGAGATCTACCCAATCCCAGGCCTTGAAACCTCAGATCCCGGCAGGGCGAAGCGATCCTGGAAGTGGCGGCGCTCAGCTTTGCATAGCAATACATAGCTTTGCGTAACCAGTGCAGGCAGGCTTTTAAAGGCGCCGCCGACGCCAGAGACCTTGTAGTTCGCCGCGAGTGGACCAACCGTTTGCGATGAGATCCTTGATGCAGGCGCCGTTCCTGATCGCCCTCGGCTTGCTTCTCGCCGGCCCTGCGGCTCCTGTAAGCATCCTCCCAGACCGGGTGAGCTCCCGCTCCTTTAAGAGGCTGCTTCCAGCATCCTGGCCCAGCTAGGGGTGTGCAGAGTCCGGGTGGGTTATGAGGGTGACTCCGGTCTCTAGAACTCCTTTTCTGCAGCAGAGCCTCCCCAAATCACTAACTATGGGACTCTGAGTGGGTCGTTTTCTCTATGAGGGTGGGCTATAAGGCCTTGCTGTGCTCCTGACTTTTTTGGAAGTGTTAATTTCACTCTCGTCTGTACTCTCCTGCCCTTTTTCCAAATGCCTGAGTGAAATTTTGCTGAACTGCAAGACTAAGGCACAGCTCCCAGGCCCAAAGACTCAGCCCTGTTTACCTGCCCTCCTTTCCACCCCATGAAAAGGCCTGGCACCCATCCCTTCCCTTTCTGTACTGCTCTGCTTGTCCTGATGGGTGGGTGGGTTTGAGAGGCCCTCTAGGCCAGAAGGTCCAGACTTACTCTTCTGGTGACAAAGATCCAGCCCTGCTCTTGGTTGTAAGCCACGAAGATGCTCCAGCCTCCAGGCTTCCCCCTTCACTTCTCACTCACCTCGTGCTCCAGGCCCTTGGGAAAGGGAAGTTCTGTCATTCTGAGACCTAGAGAAGCCTAGTTCCATTGCCTCTTTGCTGCAGAGATGTGGGCAAGACAATATCTCGGGCAGCCGTCAAAGAGACAGGCCCAGCCTAGATCCCTTCCCTCCAACCACCTGGGAAACATTTGTCTGAGAACATGGAATAGTGTGGTGTAGGGGAAAGTGAGATAGAACTGAGAGCTGGGAGGCTTGGCCTCTGATGCCTTCTCTGTCTCTAATCCATGGGCATGGCATTTGGGCTCCTTGAGCCTTGGTCTCCTCATCTGTAAAATGGGTGTGATGAGGCCAACCTGCCTTTCTCAGATGATTGTGGGTGAAGGGAAATGCTTGCATGGATGGAAAAGCTCTAAGATCTTAAATAAAGTGATGTAAGCTAGTGGGCTCAGCCCCACCCTGCCCCAGGGGCAAGCAGTCTATTTTGCCTGTTGAATGAAGAAGCAAGGACCTCTTGGCCTTCTTTGCCCAGAGGGTTACAGTTTGTCCCTGAGTGTAGGTTGAGAATGTTTCTCTTGGCTCCAGGTCTGACCGCTATAAGGTGGGGTCCGGCTAAGGCTTGAGTTTGCCCTACATTCCCGTTCTCCTATATGTCGGCTATGGGTGCTGTCCCAGACCAGAGGGTCTTAAGATCTGCAGTTTTGGAGAGATCTTGAGACATCATAGAGTTCACCCACCTCACTCAGACCCACAGAGGACAGGGGACTCGCCCAAGATTACACAAGTGGCTCTTTTGATCCTTATCTGCTATCATCCACATCTCTGGGCTCATGTGATTCAGAGCCCTGACCTCGAGGCCATGGGCCAGATGAAGGCTGTGGGGGGATAGTGAGCGTTTGAGCGTCTGGTAAACCTGAGTTCCAGTTCCTTTTCTACTGTTAACCAGTCTCATGATGCTGGGTTAACTGGTCTCGTGATGCTGGGCTGTGTTGAGCGTTAGAAAACAGGGGAGAATGTCTAGCCCTGCGCTGGGCATACAGTAGGTGCTTAATAGACTCTGTGATACTGTAAAATGATTGCCATTTATTGCGCACATACTACGTGCTTTGTGTTCAGCCATGTGCTTTTTCTCCTAATAAACTTTTTTGGGGGAATAATTTTAGATTTACAGAAAAGTTGCAAAGATAGTACGGGGTTCCCCTATACTCCTCACCCAGTTTCCTCTGGTGTTAACACCTTATATCACCATGGAACATATGTCAAAACTGAGAAACCAGCCTTGACACATGACCAGTAACTACACATTAGACTTTATTTGGGTTTTACCAGTTTTCCTATGAATGTCCTCTTTCTGTTTCAGGATCCAGGATACCATGTTGCATTTGTTATCATGTCTTCCCAGTCTGCTCTGGTCTCTGACAGTTTCTCAGTCTTGTGTTTTCACTGGTCTGACAGTCTGGAGGAGTTGTGACCTGTGCTTTCTGTGTACAAACTTCTCACTCTCCCAGTAGCCCTGTGAGAGGATATAATTATGCCCATTTAATAGATGAGGAAATTGAACCTCCAGAGAGGTTAACTTACCCATGATTTCAGCTAGTGAGAGTGGCTGAGGTATGATTTTAACCCGACTCTGTGATAAATACTCATATTTCTGCCTCCAGAGCTGTGCCTTTCCTCTCTGCTGTTTGTTGCCTCTTTCCACATGTTGGCCTCTGCTGGGGATGGCAAATATCTGGTGCCAGGCCTGGCCCTTAGTGGGTGTTGCTAATCCGTCATGCCTTTTCTGGGCGAGGCTGGACTCAGCTGCAGAACTCATTGCCACAGAAGCTTCTAGTCAGGAAACCTATATATCGAGAAACTGCCTTGTTATGTCTCCCCCAGGGCCTGGGGGAAGGGGAAGCTTAGAAGAGGGGTGGGAATTCTTCAGCTCTAACAGGACACTCAGGTGACCTGCCCCAACCTGGACTCAGTCCTCAGTGTGAATCACGCTGCCTTAGAATCTGTGAAAGCAGCCCCCGGAAATGGCTAACCTCCTACCTACCCTCCAGCACAACTCCTAACTCCAAACAATCTTTTCATTTGATGGTGGCCTCCCTTCCAGACTTACCCTTCTCCAATCTATTCTCAACCCTAAACCAGAGCATGGCACATACCTGCAATGGAGGTCCATTGCACTTATCGAAAATCCAGCCTCCTGATTATGACCTACGAGGTCCTCTATTAAATGACCCTGCCACTCTCCAACCTAGTCTGGGTCCCTCGTCCACTACATACAGTCCACTGGCCTTCTTGCAGTGCCCAGAGCAGCTAGGCTTCTTCCTACCGAGGGCCTCTGCCCGTGTCCCCTCTGCCTGAACATTCTTTTTCTCTCTACTCCCCATCCTGCAGGAATCCAGCTTGAGTATGACTTTCTCATGACCCTATTTAAGTAAGTTCTCTGTTACTCTCAACACTTCCTTCTGTTCATTTCCTTTGTGGTGCTCAGAAATCATAGTGGGTAATATTTATTCACATTGGACTGTAGGCTCCTCAAGGCAGGGCAGGAACATTTCTAATTGTTTACCACTATTAACACAGCTCTCAGCTCAGGGCCTGTGATCATTGCTCCATAAGTATTTGGGGAATGAATGTGGAAGGAAACATTTATGGGCTGGCACCTACCTTGTGTAAGGGGCTGTGGAGAAGGCGGGGATGAATCAGACCCTGTCCTGCCTTCCTTAGTCATGGCACGACGATTTATTCCAAGGGACAGAAACCCATTCCAAGGAGCTCAAGTAAAGGGAAGTTTACTCCAGGTATACAAGGAATCTCTTGGAACTAATGGCAGGAGGTGGAGGCTGGGATGTCTGATGACTGTCGTTTAGTGAGCCAGCTCATCATGCTTGGGGCCTGGCGTAGTGTTGTGAGCCTTACATACATGCTCTCACCCTCGGAACAGCCCTGAGAGGAAAGTATAAATGCCTCTGCTTAAAAGAAGTGGAAATTGGGCATCCAAGGGGAAACTCGCCTATTGAATCACGTGGTGTGGTGGCTGAACTATGATTTCAAGCCACATCTGCTGACTAAAGCCTTGATTTACTCCATATCCCACTCCAAAGCCTTGCCCTTCACTGCTACCCCGTACTGCCTACTTAGGTAGCCGGGGTTTGGGGGGGATGAGGGGGGAACTCCATCTGTTCTCTTTTCCATTGACCAGCAGAGCCCTTGGTTCTTGTCCCTTCCTGAACTTTGGCTTGGTCATGGATCACAGATCTATGTGTTCTGACCCCATCCCAAGGCTTAAGACCCAATGACAGCGTGAAACCCAAAGTCCTCTGAGTGATTTTTCTCCAATTCAATTCCCAAATTGGAGGCAGAGAGAATCTGTCAGCCTAACTTGGGCTAGGTGTTCCCTTTCGGCCCAGTCGGCTGTGTTGGCCATGGGAGTTGGCTTGTGGGTATAGGACTGGCAAGTTTTCCTTCTAAGATGGGATGTGCATGGTGGGAGTGCCGAAAATCTCTTGCAGGTGGCCTTCAGGGAGCTGGGAAAGGTGTGAGTGGGTGGGCAGAGAGTCTGCATGATGTAGGAAGTGCTAAAGATCGTAGACAAGCAGACAGGGTTCCATGGGAGTGGAGAGTTAGCGGTCATGTGGAGTTGGACAAGATGGTGGAATCAGGAGACCTCTTTGGGGATGTGGAGGACGAAGAGGAGAAGTGGTGCAGCAGAGGAGAGGATGGTGACTCAGCTGGGGACAGGACATGAGCAGTGGGATGGGAGTAAGAAAGCACTGGTTAGGATTGGGGAAGTTCATTCCTTGGGGTTGTTGATCAACAAGTGGCCCACTGGGGATCTTTTCATGTGTGTCCTGTTCCCTCCCTGGGTTAATTGCACACCCATGAGGGTGGGGTTTTGGGTGCTGTAATGTTTCCCACTGTGTTTTGTGTTTCTTATTGTTGCTGGCCCTATATTGGGCATGGGGTGTGACATGAATAAGGCTGCAAAGGTGAATCCTCCAAGAGCTTCCTGCTAGGGAGGGAAGACTGGCTGGAGCGGAGTGGGGAGCATGAGGTGGGAGACCAGAGAAGGTACCTACCAAAGCTGGATGCGGTTAGTCTCCTGTTTTGAAGTTCAAGATCTGTTATATTGTGCTTTATAGCTTATGGCACACTTTTGGGAGATGTGTCTTTTGAGTTTTTTAGTTTAGTCTTGCTTATGAAATGGGTAGGACAAATGTTATCCCAGGTTTACAAATGTGGAGTTGCAGAGGAAGCTCAGAGAGGGGAGGTACCTCACCCACCGTCACTCCATCAGTAGCCCATTCTGTTGATTCTTCTGACCTGTGAGAATTCCTTTTGTCAACTTTTCTTTTCTCTTTTATTCTTGCTGCCTGATTGTCCTTGGCCATCCCAGCTCGGTAGCTTTTCCTGGGATAACTGTGACGAGGGGAAGGACCCTGCCGTGATCAAAAGCCTGACTGTGGAACCTGACCCCATTGCCATTCCTGGGAACGTGACTATCAGTGCTGAGGTGAAGACCACTGTCGCCCTTAATCCTCCTCAGAAGGTGAGCCAGGGGGTGGGTGTGAATGGGGATGTGCTGAAGGGAAGGTGCCATGGGCCGGCTGGCAGGGGCACTGAGGGATGTGTGCTCAGGGAACTGTGAATAATTTAGGAATCCTGGAATCCCAGAGCAGCAAAGGATGCATAGATTGCTAGACTGTCTGGCAGCTCCCGTTGGGTGATTTGGTTTTGGTGTTGCTATTGTTGTTAATTATAAAACAGACACGTCAATTAGCAAGTGATATGTAGTCACTTTAGAAAACGCAAATGGTCAAAAAGTGGGAAAAAATAAAAGAAATCACCCGAAATCTCACTACTTAGTGATAAGGGGTAAGCACTTTTAACATTTTGTAGGCTAGTCTGTGGAACTTTCCCCACACAATCACGTATAACATACATATTAATTTTGAATGGTTATATATGAAAATAAGCAGTGTTCCTTGTAAATGTCCTCCTGCAATCTAACTCCTCACAAGATAGTCATTGTTAGCTATTTGTATATCCTGTCAGAATTTTTTCTACATTTGTAAATATAGATACATTTATAATTATGGGATTCTATGACATGTGCTATTTTTTTTTTTTTTTTTTTGTGAGGAAGATCAGCCTTGAGCTAACATCCAATGCCAATCCTCCTCTTTTTACTAAGGAAGATTGGTCCTAGGCTAACATCCGTACCCATCTTCCTCTTCTTTATATGGGACGCCGCCACAGCATGGCTTGATAAGTGGTGCCGGTGCGCGCCTGGGATCCGAACCTGCGAACCCTGGGCTGCCGAAGTGGAGCACGTGCACTTAACCGCTGCGCCACTGGGCCGGCCCTGACATGTGCTATTAAACTCACATTTCTTTTCCCGTCATACTATATGTTCCATACCTCTTTCTAGGGCATTTGGCAGAGATCTGCCTAATCATTTTTAATGGCCAAAATATTCTGTTGTGGATCTGTCATAATTTACATAACAAATCTATTGTTGGACATTTAGTTTGTTTTCAGAGTATGAATTTTGTTTGGTTTTGTTTGTTTTTTGGCTTTTGTAAACACCTTTGCAGAAATTATCCTTGTAATGCATCTTTTTATACTTTTCTGGTTTTCTAGACACAGACTTATTAGGCCTTTGACACATATTTCCAAAGTGCCTCCGGATGTTTGAACCCATTTATCCTCTAACCAGCAATGACAGGTTTGCCTTTTTCCACACATTTGTTGGTACTGAGCATTTTTCTAAAAATCTTTTCCAAGCTTTTATGTCATCCCTAATGAGGTTAAATGCCCTTTCTTAGACTTCTTTGCCTTTTGTATTTACCTTGGGAATAACCAGTTTGTTCATGTCTATGGCCTATTCTGGGCGTGGATATTCCATATTTTCTCACAGAACAGTAAAGGCTTTTTATATATCCATCACAACACCATATATTATAGTCCTTTTCTCACTATTCTGAATTGCTACCTTTATACCATATTCTTCTATGCCGTTTAGCCTGTCCTGGTGCCCATCTATTCTGACACCAGTTTTGCTTTGATTCTTTAGAAGCTCTCTGACTTGGAATCTATGTCCCTGTAACTACTCTTTGACCTGGCTTAATCATGATCCCTACCTCATAGGTTTCTCTGGAGCAATTACTGAGTTAACAAGGCGGAGAGTGAGTACTTTGCCCAGGGCCTGGCACACAAGACCTGCTCTGTACATGTCAGCTCGTGTCCTGTGGTCCCTTTGACCCAGACAGCAGTCCTGTGTGTGTGCACAGCTCTCAGGCCCTGCTCTCCTCTGCCTCTCCTCCCAAGTCCTCTCCAGGCTAGGCCATGCATTTTCTTGAGCTGTTCTTCAAGTGATAATTGACTGGGGTCACACACATGCCATGTCCGTGCTCCCGCTGCCGAGTCTGGAGAGGAGGGCTCTTTGGCAGGCCGGCCACCGCGCTTGCTCTCCTGCCACTGCCACGCAGACTGCTGGCATTGCCAAGCACGCCGATGCTGTGCAGCTGGCTTGGAAGGAAAAGCTGGCAAACTCCTTCTTGTGCCCCCAGCCTGCTTTCCCTGCCATCTTCACCTTAAGATGGACCCCTCCCCACCCCCTTTTCTATTTCTTTATTACCTGTCATAAATTTGGGCTATTGTGCTTTGTAAAAATTGCCCTCAGATCCCCCTACATTTCTGATATGTATGTATTTACTATCTTTATCTTCCTTTATCTTTTTAGGGTATGTGCATATTAGCTATTAAGTGAAAGCCTCTTACCACTTGTTTAGGAGGAAAGATGATTAGCCTCATTTTACAGGTGAGGGACACTGAGGCTCGGAGAAGGGTGCAACTTGCCCCAGGTCACACAGTTATTAGCACATTCGAGGCTGGTGTCTTTATCTTATGTTTCCTGTTCCTGAGCTCTGACTGGCAGGGAGGTGGACTTAGTGCTCGGTGTGTTTGCAGGCGAGTGCTCCAAACTTTCCCCTTGGCCAGCAAAGACCCGTTTAGCAGAGCTGCCCAGACTCAAGCATGGAGGAGCCTGGAGGGCTCTTGAGGTCAATGGCTTCTACCTCTTGTTACTGAGGCCCAGAGAGGAGAGTGACTGGTCCAGGCCCACACAACCTCTTAGCAGGAGAGCCAGCTCATCCTCTCCTCCTCTGACCTTGCTGAACTGAGGTTTCTTCCATCAAAGTCCCATCTGGGACCCAGATGGATTTAACCCCAGCTGCAATTTTTGGAAGTTGGATGCCCCAGATACCATGAGCCATGGGCAAGATAGGGGCCAGCCGAGGAACTCCCTTGAGAACTCCCTCCTGTGAGCCCTCCCTCAAGTTCCAGCCTCTGGGACCCTGGCTTTCCCACCCTCAGGGATCCTAACTTGCTGATGTATTCGGCATGTACATTTATTTCGGGCTTTTAGACACGTGGCTTTCAGGCCTGGTGGTTTGGCTTTTTTCATTCCCCTTAAATTCGTGTTCCTGCAATGCCCCTGCCTGAGGCCTGTGGCAGAGATATAATGCCCCCTCCCCAGTTGCATTAATGGCCCCCCTTCAAGTCAGTTGCTATCAGTGGGTCTTTACCTAAAGCCTTTGTATGTCTAGCCCTGTGCCAGAGGCCAAGAGAAGAAGTCATTTTTTTTCAACCTGCAAGAAACTCTGACTCTTAGGATGTCAGAACTGGTAGATCTCTTCGAGATCATGAGATCCAAGTACTCCATTGTCGAGGTGGCGGAGCACGGTCCTGAGAGGGGAAAGGACTTGCCCCTGGGCCCCCACAGGTGCAGGGTTCCTCACTCCATTACACATCACTGCCTCTGTCTGTCTTGTTGTCGAGCCAGGTCCCATGACACAGAAGTTTATTTAGGTCGAGCTATGGACTCGCCCAGGTCGAGTCCTGGACTAGAGAGATTGATGGTACCTTGTTACCCAGTCTTGCTCGCTTTCCTGAGCCATATAAGCAATGAGATTGAGAACAAGGACTGAGAAATGAACCATGGTCTGTAATCTCAAATAGTCACCATGGCTGCTGCCTCAGAAGCACCTGTTGTCTTAAGTTCAGTGCACTCCCGCTGAGGACCTCCTATGCTGAGCCTGTCCTGGGCGGGGGTAGGAGTAGAGACAGGGAGACCCAGCTCCTTCTGGTGGAGGCAGCCCCACCGTCCTCCAGCCTGGTGGGAGGAGCTCAGGCAGGACTTGGCCCCACTGGTCCCCTCAGCTGGGTGTTCTTGTTCAGGGCATAACTGGCTCAACCCTTTACATTGGGGTACAGTTGAAACAAGAAGGGGGTATTGGCTAAGGAAGGCGGGAGGAGAGGCAGACTGGTAGGAGGTAATTTGTGGATTTCAGGCAGTATGCTGAGTGTTTTACAGGTGTTGTCTCACTCAATGGGACCTTGTGAGAGAAGTAGGCACTCTCAAATATCCCACTTTTGGAGATGAGGGCGTGGAGACAGAGCAGTAAATCCTCCAAGGGCACTGAAGTAATGTTCCAGCCCAGGCCCTCTGACTCTTCCGAGTCAAAGAGGTTGGAGCAGGCTTGGCAGGGGAGAGGAGGGCTGGGAGGGGCACTGTGTGTGACTTGGGGGTGGGAGATGATGTGTGTGTCAGTAGAGCAGAATGAGGCCAGCGAGGGAAGCAATTTGAGTTTGTCCACTCAGGACCACAGGGTGCACTGACCTCTCCCTTCCTCCTGGGTCTGATCCTGACATCTGGGGCAGTTGGAAGACTGAGTCCACAGCCTGGGGAGCCATCCTGAGTCCAGCAGGCTCTGGGGGACTAAGTTCCCATCCAGGATTTGTCTCTTAGAAACAAAAGCCCCACTCAAGCGAGCCTGGAGGCTGGGATTCATAGAATACTGGAATGTCAGAACTGAAAGGGATCCTAAAAATGTGGTTTCCTGCCATAACACCCATGAAGAATCAGATGATCTAGTGAGCTAACTTCCTCCTGCCCTTTCCTTACAGTTGTCCCTTGATGCCTTTGGGGGGACACGAACACGGTCCTCAGGGATAACTCATTTGGCTCTTCGACAGCTAATGCTTAGTGAATGCTTAGCACCTGCCAGGCGCAACTGGGGCTGTCTGCCTTGAAGTCCTGGCCACTTCTGGATCAGCTCCAACCTCCAGAACAGGAGCAGAATCGTGACAGCATGGAGGTGTGAAGCATATATAGGTCTTCTCATCCAGCTTCTCTCTGGGTGCAGGGGTCCTTCTGTAGTTCCCCCAACTGGGTCCCGGTAGTCCCCCACTTCTCAGGGTAGTTCCATCTGTGTTAACCTAGCTGTGATGTTAAGAAGATCATCCTTATACCAATCCCAAAGTGATGTCCCTATAAATTCCTATTTTGAATTCTGTCTTCTGTGGCTCTATAGAGAAAATATGGTCTAAGAACAGCACATAGGTTTCATCTTGGTAACCAACTCAGCTGGTAGTAGCTGGATGAAGTCCTGTGTAGAAAAGGTTCTGAAGCCAAGATTGGGCTCAGAAGGTAGGCTCTAGGAAGCAATGCCACAGTTAGCTGATTATAGTAGTTAGATGACAAGTGCATTCCAACTCAAGTGTTAGCTTCGCCCCATGTGACTACCTAAAGAATTCTAAGACTGTGTGGTTCAGTGAAGGGGAAAAAATAAATCACATTCGATTATTAATGTCTGCCATGGGCACAGGAAAGGATAATATTGGGGTGTGTACCACAATATTGTCATTTCTAGATCAGAATATCTCCAAGATCTTATCCAACTAAAAATTCTGCGATTAAAATAAAATGCTGAACTTTTACAGAGGCAGAGGAGCTGGTATGTTTGCCTGGAATTTACACTTTTTCAAATTCTTTCTCACCAGGTGGAAATAACTCTGGAGAAGGAAGTGGCTGGCGTGTGGATCAAAATTCCATGTGTGGAACAAATTGGTAGCTGTACCTTTGACAATGCCTGTGATATACTTGACACTTTGATTCCCCCTGGGCAGCCCTGCCCAGAGCCCCTGCACACCTACGGGCTTCCCTGCCACTGTCCCTTCAAAGAAGTAAGTACTTAGTGAGGGAAGTACTTAGTCCAGCATTGTCCCTGTGGCTGGAGTAAAGATGTGGGGTTAGGAGAGAAGGTCCTTGCATTCTCTTCCTCCAGATGTGAATGTCTGTGGATGTAAATTGGAGTCATCTATCCTGAATCGCTTATCTTTTGGGGGCCTCAGTTTATCCATCTGTGAAATGGGAGACTTGAACTTTGATGTGACCTCCAGTGCCCTCTAGCTGTAACATTCCATGATCTAAGGTGCTAGGGCCATCTCTAATCTCGGGTGGCTCTTAGGAGAATGGGAGGAGGGGCAGTTCATGCCTGTAGGCCTAGAGGTGGCTCCAAGAGAGAGTCCCATCAGAAGGCTCCCACTGACCTGTGATCCACTGGCTTTCCCACAGGGCACCTACTCACTGCCCAAGAGTACCTTCCCCCTGCCCCACCTGGAGCTGCCCAGCTGGCTCAGCAGGGGGAACTACCGCCTCCAGAGCATCCTGAGCACCGGCGGGGCTCGTCTGGGCTGTATCAAGATCTCCGCCTCTGTGAAGGGTGAATAATGTGGCACCAGCCACAGCAGAATGAAGGAATATGAGGAAGTTGTCACTCTTCCCCTGTCTTGCATTTGCCAAGGCCAAATTCTGACTCTCTATCCCCCTTTCTACAATGATGCCATTCCCCTCACTGAAAGCCTTGTCCCACCTACATTGTAGGTGTGGGCAGGCAGCCCTAACCTCACGGAGGATGAGCTTGGTGGTTCTTGATAGCCCAGGACGTCTCCTGGGCTGGCCATGGCATTTCCTCCTCCTTCCTAGGGCTCTCTCCCTAAGAGCTTAACTCATTTTCTAAACAGTCAAGGAATGGGACCAGCACGTTTTGTGACCCCAAGTTCAGACTGACCCAATTTTGGCCTCTTGAAGTACCTTTATGGTTTTCTCATTAAAATTTTGTCACTGAAAAGTAGAGAGAGTATTAACAGTTTTCATTTTACTCCATCCCCTCTTACAATGAAGAGGCTGAAGTAGTTGATCTCAGTCTATTCCTCCATTAATGTCTATGATTAAATTAGTATTCTTTTCTAGATTTTTCCCAATTAACAGTGGGGCATAGTGTATCGTGGAGAGGCAAGATGTGTGGTGGGGAGCTTCATTGGGAGAGATATTTAAGGATGCTCTGTGTGTTTAAGATACTACAAACTCAGGTGCCTGCAGGGCCAAGCATGAGACATAAATGAGTGACGAGGACCACAAGGAACCTGTTGCTTCCAGGCATGTCTTTCAGATAATAGCACATATGCATTGATAGAAGGCAACTGATGCCCAATCTCGAGTTGGGGGTGTAATTAGGAATGGTGGGGATGGGGGTGTGTTGGAAAGGGCATGTCCAGTCTGTAGGGGCAGCTCCTGTCCAGATAGAGCCAGTTAGTGGGACATGAGAATGTGTAGGCCCAGTTTGCCAAATATTCTCAGTTTTTTTCCCTAGAGAACTGAGAAATCCAGACTTTTATATGAAATCTTACAATTTTTAAATATTGGCGACTAATTATTTTTTGAAACATTGTGCAGGCCAAACGGGCCAGACTTGTCAGTGGGGATATCTGGCTCTTGGGTGGCCAGTCTGTGACCTCTGATGTAAGAATATGCATGCCTTGTCCTTTCAGTCTCAAGACAACCCCTGCGGCACCCTTTTCTCCCTCTATAGGGCCAAATCCGTTGGGTCTGACCCAAGGAGAAGGCTCTTCCAGGGCTGGGGGGGTAGAGATGTGAGAGCTGTCAGTTACAGGGATCACGAGGCTGCCTGCCCTGGCCTTGGAGCACTGACAGGCTGACTGGGGCAAATGCTGAAGACTTGAACCCACCAGCACCTGCTCTGTGGAGCAAGAGCCAATGAAGAGAGGTGGACTCATGTCACATGCCTGGGTTTTTCCACCGTCCCGTCCTCCCGTGACAACTTACTGACCCACAGACCAGCCCCAGGTTCTGGGCTCATTTGAAGCCTGGAATGCCAATAAATCTTTTTAATTTGCTGAGAATTCCTCCTTTGTCTTGGCTGCGTATTTTTCCGTTGATCACATCTCGGGATTTCAGGAGCTTGTTTGCAGTGGGCGGTTACTGTTGGAAGAGTTTGTTGCAGCGGTAAAGGCGAGCCGAGGCGGCTTCAGGGACTCTGGTCTCTGTCTCATGAGCCGCTTGTTACCTGCTTCATTCTGCCTCATCACCTTCCAGCTTCCTTGGTTTGCTCTTGTGCTTTCCCATCGCGGTGGACCTCTCCAGCCTTTTCTCCCTCCAATGGATCTTTCAGCCTTATTTTCACAGTCATTTTTTAGTTCATATCCTTGAATGGAGTCTTATTAGCTCAATCTTTTTCTGCCATGCCATGCTCTTGGTCAAATGCTCCTCCAGGTCTCAGAGGGGTGGGGAGGGGGTTTAGTAGGGGTGGGGGGGAAATCTCAAATCACAGGGCAAAGTGGACTTTTTTTTTGGTGAGGAAGATTCACCCTGAGCTAACATCTGTTGCCAATCTTCCTCTTTTTTTGCTTAAGGAAGATTAGCCCTGAGCTAACATCTGTGCCATTCTTCCTCTACTTTGTATGTGGGTTGCTGCCTCAGCATGGCTGACGAGTGGTAGGTCTGCACCCGGGATTCCAAACCCATGAACCCCGGCCGCCAGAGTGGAGCACACTGAACTTAACCACTATGCCCCAGGGCCAGCCCCTAAAGTGGACTTATTTTTTTTTTTTTATTTAAAAAAAATTTTTAAACATAATAGTTTATAACATTGGGAGATTCGTGTTGTACATTATTATTTGTCAGTCACCATATAAATGCGCCCCTTCACCCCTTGTGCCCACCCCCCAACTCCCTTCCCCCTGGTAACCACCAAACTGTTCTCTCTGTCTGTGTGTTAGTTTATCTTCCACATGTGAGCAAGGTCATACAGTGTTTGGCTTTCTCTGTCTGGCTTATTTCACTTAACATAATACCCTCCAGGTCCATCCATGTTGTTGCAAATGGTACGATTTTGTCTTTTTTTATGGCTGAATAGTATTCCATTGTATATATATACCACATCTTCCTGAAGTGGACTTTTTAATAAATGATGCTGAGCCAACTGGAAAGCCATTTGGAAAAAGTTGAGATTAGATCCATACATAATACCATATGCAAGAATAAATTCCAAATGAATCCAGGGTTTAAATGTAAAAAAATGAAATCATACAAATGCTAAGAGAATACATGGTGAAAAATCTAGAGGCAATAAAAGATTGATAAATTTGACAACATAAAAATAAAAAAATTGCTTGGCAAGAAACACCAAAAAGTCAAAAGACTGGAAGAAAATATTTGCAGCATATATTGTAGACAAAGGGTTAATATTCCTAGCATATAAGGAATTAAAAATTTAAGGGACAAAGGACCAAAAACCTGATAGAAAAATTGGGAAAAGACGTGAACAGACGACTCTCTCTTTCTCTCTCTCACACACACACACACACACACACACATACTCAAGATATAAAATTGGCCCTTAAACATGGAAAAGTCTTACAAACTCACCCATGATTAGGGAAATGTAAATACTGAGATAACATCATCTCTCAGATTACTGAAAAATAAAAGACAACACCACATTCTGCTAGGCAAGGCTGTAGGGAAACAGGCACCTGCACCCATAGCTGGTGGGAATGCAAACTGGTACAACCCTTCTGGAAGGGAATTTGTCAGTGCCTAATAAAACTGCAAAAGCACTTACCCTTGGACCCAACCATTCCACTTCTGGGAATTTCCTCTGAAGATATGCCTCCAACAATACAAAAATACATATGCACAAGATTATTTATTGCAGCATGGTGATTGCAAATGTTGGAAACAATGTTAACGTCCATATGTAAGAGTGACTGAATAAACCATGGTATATTTGCATGATGGAGTACTATTTAACTGTAAAAAGAAATGAAGAAGATCTCTGAATCAATATAGTTATTTCTGGGATATATTGTTAAAGGAAAAAAATGTAAGGTGCTACTTTTCATTAAAGAAAGAAGGAGGTGTTGGGGTTCAGGGCAGACCTCCCCAGAATGTGCCACTTTGGCATGTGAATTATTTCGAGCTGAAGAAAATCAAGGCCCAACAGACTCAAGAAGAGCTTTTGACGTCCCCTTTAACTGCCTAAAAGAATTTAGATGGAGGTCTGTACCAGGAAGAGAGCTATTATCAGAGATAAGTTTTTGTATCAGAAAGACATATCTACGTGGCATGGCAAACATTTGTTTACCAAACATTTGCTGTTGCCATCTTCCTATGAATTGTCTTCCTCCCCTTTGAAGTCCCAGACTCCTACCTGCTTCTTCTTAGCTTAGAATGGCATATAAGCCTCAATTGCCTGACTGTCAGGGATACTCATATCTTTGGGGATCCTGTACATTCAAAATTAAATTTGTTTTTTTCCCCCTCCTATTAGTCTGTCTTATGTCAATTTAATTATTAGACCAACCAAAGAACCTAGAAGGGAAGAAGGGAAAAGCTTTCCTCGCCTACAAGGGGGTATAAGAAAACATACATATGTCTACTCGTTTGCACAAAATAAGGAAAGATGAACCAGAAACTAATGAGATCAATTATTTACAGAGGTTAGGTGGGAATATAGTAAAAAGAAGGGAGAAATGATAACAGGGTGTAAAGAATGAAGGGGTGGAACACCCAAAACATGATTAAAATCAATCAGAAAATGAGGAGAATTCAATATGGAATACAAATAGTAACAAGTAAACTAACTGTATTTCAAATGAGTAATACAACCACACTGAAGGGGGAGGGAAAAAAATAACTTAAGTTGCAGTACTTTGTTGGGATACTACAAAGCTAAAGAGAAAAGGAACTACACACCAAGACTGTACTCTAGTCAATTTGTTTTTTTCACAGGAGTAAGGATTAGCAATTCTGGAAATATTTTATGTGTATATGAGGATTGAGAAAATAAGTAAATATGTTGTGGATAATGAAAATATGGGGGCATATTCAAAGGACACAGAGACCAACTTGAAGCAGCTCTCAATGGCGAAATCTTAGACAATTTGAGTAACAAAATAAATAACGACAGTAATGGGTTATAATTTATTGAATAAGAATAAGTACCTATGAGTCCATACACAATAAAATCCCAATGAAATGGCAGAATGCTAGAAATAGAAAAGAAATTGTCATTAGGCAAACAATATAGTAGTAATAATTATTGCAGAGAAGAATCATTTATGGATGCTAAAATTATTGGATAAAAGTATGATAAGAAAGAGGATTTTGCATGGTCTCAAGATATCTTCTCACAAGATACTAATTACAAAGGGGAAAATAGTCGCTTTATAGTGGAGAAACCTGGCGGACACCACCGTAACCAAGTGATCAAAGTTAACATCACCAGTAATAAGACATATTGGCATTGTGTACCTCTTGATATGATGCACTGATAAAGGCACAATGTCACTTCTGTGGTATTGTCAAAGATGTACAGTCTCAATTTAATCATGAGAATAGATCAGACAAACTTGAAATAGCACATAACCAGCGCATTGACTAGCTTAAACTAATTTTGCTTCCTTAAAACAAATTGTTGATCAGTCAAACGTTGCTCAAAAACAGACAGCACTGCACACGTGCCAGGTGGAAACCCATAGTCCCAGGATGACCCCGGAGCCAAGACTCTTCAGAAATGTTGCCATCTGAGCCCTTTATGAAGCAAGAAGTCCTTCAATGAGGAAAATCCAGCTTCCGGCAGCCCAAGAAGCTTGATTACCATATAGGGACTGATTTGAGGCTAGTCAATCAGCTTACATGGGCCCAGCTGTAGCTTAGTAGCTCCTAACTCCTTAAATTTTGCCCCAAACCCTGGACTGGGGAGACAGATTTGAGAGCCTTGCCTCCTATCACCTTGCCAGTTGACCTCGCAATAAAGCCTTTT